ATTTGACAGTTTAAGCGAAGCGTCGTCTACTCACCGCTGCGCCTAGATGTAGCGTCTCATACCAGTGCAGCATACTGCCTCGCGTTCATGTTTTTCACGAGCTCGTCTTGCCTAAACTCGTTTTAAATCGACTGCAAAGCAATGACGAAGCTAAGTAGACGCACCGCCATGCTCCGCGGAGTCGACTTTACAACAAAACCAGTGGTGCGTTGGGGCATTATCGTATGAAAGCTTGTACATCCCATAATTCCCATGGGGGTACAAGCGCCGCTGAAGGAGCCAGCGCAGACATTAGCGCCAGATTTCTTTCTAGGTATTATTGTATGAAACTCTATGTATAGACCCTTCGCTTTTACAAACACAGACCCTTGATAATACCTGGTTTTGTCTACCGATGTGCCTTAATAGTATCGCTGGGCAAGAAGAGATCAGGCAAATATATTGGTTCTCATCATGAGGCGACACAGGTTGAATGATGTAGGTAAGCTCCCGGCGAATATACACAATGACCTTGCTGCTTTCGTTTCGGGTTTTGGACGGGATTGATTCGTAGCCGGATAGCCTGATCGGGTTTGATAATTTCGGTTCGCATATTACGATGATTGGGAAACGGTTAGAAAACACGTACTGACGAAAATCGGAAATCCGTGATCTAAGTCCTCTTGCGTTCCACTGGATGACTGATGCTTCTCTGACGTCTTTGCGGAACGATTGTTGATCTCCTGCCATGACTCTACGCGAGGGAGGCGAGGACTGGGCTCAGCGCGTCCAACACCTGTAACCCGCTTCGAGCGGTTGGAGTTCCCAGGCTTCTTAGTATGTCTGCCATGACAGCGACGAGGGATCGTAACATCGGGATGATCTGTCGATCGACCCTTGACACATCCTCAACGGAAGTAGACTCGGTGGAAGGTGTAGGGCGGCGAGGCCTCGCAGGAGGCTCCTTTGCCGGCTGCGTACGCGGAAGCGTAGGCCACTCATCCGCAGCTGTGAGCTTCTCCACTTCATTTCGCTTCGTGCTTACTACTTCACTCGTGCTCGGAGGAAATGGGTTATTCGCAACACTCTGTCCTACACGCCTCCGTCGGCGACTACGTCGCCGCCGTACCCTTTCGGCAGCCTCTCTGTGGGTTGAATTGTCCCTAACCATTTGTTTGATAATGGCGATTTCCTTCTTAATCCGAGGGCATTCCTTGGATGCAGCATCATGCGGACCATCACAGTTTCTGCACTTCAGACTTGTTGCCCGACATGCGTCTGCAGTGTGCGGCTCAGCGCATCGGGGGCATGCTGTGGTGTTTGTACATACACTCTTGATGTGACCAATTTTCATGCAGTTATGGCACTGGAGTGGTTTAGGGACAAATGGTCGAACAGGATGTCGGAAGTGTCCCACTTTGACATGCGACGGAATGGAATCTCCTTTGAACATTATCTTTACACATCGGGTGTTTTCGAGGCGAAGTACATTCGCGATGAGAACTCCTTCGTTCGCTGGTTTTATAAGAGTTGGGAGGTCCGAATTTGCTATGGCCAAATCAATGTCGTAGATTACTCCCGCCGTGCAGGCACCGTCCATTGGAATAACCGGTCGAACTTTGATGCCTCCCAAATCTGATACTCTGCGAAGCTTGTCTATGGCGCTGGCAGTCATTGTGTCCACAGCTAGAATATTCTTCCGCGTGTTCACCCGGATATCCTTAATGTCGTTTGGTGCTACCCCCTCAAAGTACATAGAGAGAGCTTGCCTGTTTACTGCTCGAAGGCTGATGGTGGAGTCCTCGGGCATGAAGAGGATGGTGTGCGGCCAGCATTCTCCTTTTGACTGAGACGTTAATGTCCCTGCTGGTGAAGACGACTTGATACTTCTTCTTTTGGCCTTCCTGCTTCTCACGGTCTCGAAGTCGTCATCCGACGAGTCGTCGCCAGTGGCCGAGTACAGTTCCGTGTCCTCGCTGGTGCTCGAACAGGTGCTTCGTTTCCGCGACGAGCTTGCCAAAGGTGGTCTATGGTCGGACAGAGCCGCAGAAGGCTCCACGTCCACAGCCATGATGCAGTGACTATCACCGTTGGCCTCACTGGTTCTGGGCCAGGCGCGCTGATTTACCGAGGAGCTCGCCATAGCAGACCTCTGGCTGGGCGGACCAGTGGATGACTCCGCGTCCGTCGCCTTGGGGCAGGGAGCAGCGTCTCCCGTAAAAAGCGAAAAACTTGATAACAATGCTCGGAGCCGAAAGCAGAAGCGTTCTATCAGTGTTTACACAATAGTAATGAGATCTAACAGACAATAATGCCAAGGAAGGTATAGGGGAAGTTATTAGGCCAATTGTAATGTAAATGAGAAGAAAGAAAAGTGGGTGAAAAGATAACTTTGCTGTGGGCAGGGTCCGAGCCTGTGACCTTCGAATAACGCGTTCGATGCTCTACCACTGAGCTACATAGACAACTATCCCCCCAGCCACATTATTGGGTATCTATGTCAATTTAAACGTGGGAGTGTCAGTCAGCGCCACTAGAAGCCATGGCGGCGAGTGTGGCTCACTCTTTATGAGCTTGTTTGGACTGCACAATGCCTACACCAACAACACAACCGAGAAACTGCCATCAGGAAGACCTGTACGGCTGGTGACCCCGCATTCGAAGAACGTAACCGAGTGTACCAGTAGGTCTATATCGCAATAGAAATTATATGGACGCTATCAGCACATTTTAGCCGTCACAGTCGCCTCTATGTCCGTTTACAAGGTGTTTGAAGAAATGTGTCCACTAATAACAAACAAACAAACAAACAAAATGAAACAGAAAGGTGATATATGCGTCCTACGTGTGGCGTTCCCTGTAGTGCGACAGAAGGCATCTTCAGAAGCATACGAACATTGAGTACGACACTAATTATCAAACTTAAAACCATTAACTTTTAAACCAGCGCAAATAAGTGGTGAAGTCCAGAGGGCGAATTCAAGTCCTTACTGCGATAGTCCATTGCCACTTTGAAATTTTTTTAAAGGTGGCCACTGTTAGTCAATGCGGAGCGAATACATGTGGCTAATTTAGCAGACGAAACCTATAAACCGACGCACCAAACAGCGCATCTACCATTCGCTTCGAAAACGCCCTAGATGACGAAACTGCTTCCCTCGCATCAGGAGAAGAGGAGAAGCGAGCGTCGATGAGCGGCCATGCGACAGGAAAGAGCCGCCACGAAACTAAGCATGTGGACTGACGGTTGATAACGGCGTGGGAAACAGTCTCATCATTGAGAGAGTTTTCGATGTGAATGGTGGGTGCGCTGTTTGGTGCGTCGGTTTCAGTTTCGCCGCCTAAAATAGCCCGATTTCGATCACCCGCTGCGATAATTAGTGGCCGCCTTACAGAGATTTCAAAGTGGCTATTACCTAGTCGCATGAAGGACTTGAATTCACCCATTTGGTTCGACCGCTTATTTCCACTGGTTAATCGGTTACGTGACTGAGTGAAACAACTTTATTGCTTATCCGGCATAAAGGGGGAAGAGGTAGGGGGATTAAAGGAAGACTCTAGCGTGCTTGGACGTCCCGGAGCAGCCACCTACTCGGGTTGAAACTGTGAAGGTGCCACTTTCGGCCGTTGACGTTCCAGGATGCCAAGCACGGGCTGGACCACGTGTCTTTCTTTGCCTGGCTCTTCGCTTATGATTTTGCTGCTGATGGTAATTGGCGTTGCTTCTTGGTTACCCAGCGGTGGCGCACAGTTCCACAGGAGGAGCCTCTGTGTGGCTCGCGCCTTCTTGCAGTGTTGGTATATACGTGTGAAGTATACCTCCGGGCAGACGTGCTTTGCCCAGACGGGAGTCCACGTGGCTTGTACTTGAAACAGCCGTAGTGTGGCTCCTTCGCTGCGTTTTAGGTCTCGGTGAGGCGGCGACGTTCTGCAGTGGTTCAGAACGGGCACACGCCTCCACTGGTTAAAAGTTATTGTATCCCTTACAAAAACTCTTATTCAAAAACAAAGAGAAGTTATTGAGCAATGACAACAGATGGGACCGAAAACACATGACGGTTCAATTAAAATACAGTTGAGGAAATTGTTGACCAGTATTGAAAATCGGCCTATGACTTTCAATTTAAAGCCATCAATGAACTCGACATAGATTTATCAGTGAGAGAGCATGAAATGGCGATGGAAGCCAGTCTTCGACATCCTCCAAGACGGAACCGTGGAACACCTTCGGCACACGTGGCTTCCGCAGCGTAGGAGGCGCGGCTGCAGCGCCTTCCACAGCGTTTGGGGATGTCACTGACGTCATCTCGGGCAGAGGTCCAAGCTCAGGAGGCAGTCCTCGGAGTCTTCGGCTTGCGCGGTGAACAGGTGTGATAACTGCAGGTACAGGGCTACCAGGAGGCGTTTGGAACATCGGCTGGGGGTTACCCCGCACCTCCACCAGCCGTCACGTGCTACGAAACGTCTTTTACTCGAAAGAACTGAGCCGGCAGGGAGACGCACAGAAAACTGGCAAGATGGCTGACTCAATGACAACAACAACTAGCCAGAGCGCGCTGCCCCAGAACATCCTCTTCCATTCTAGTGGGCAGCCATGGCTTTCGCTTGCCGTACCTAGTGGGTAAGTCGCATATATACCACGCCGAGCCGTGTGCATCCTAAGAATGTAAAAGGTAAGAGTGGACGGCTCTGTACAAAGCCCCATTCGGGCTTTACATATTGCCTTAGGAAGTGTTTTTATTTCATTGTTACGAAATATTTGAACAAAGCCTTCAAGTGCGAAGTACGATGCGGCCTTATATATATATATATATATATTTCACAATATGCAATTTTGATAAAAGTATATGACAGCCAGGCACCTGTCATCATCGTACTGTTGATGGCGGCCGGTGGCGGCTACGACCACCACCGCCGCCAGACTTTCGCATCCACTGCTAAATGTGTTAAATGTATCAAACTAACACTTTTCGATTCTGAAATGCCTTCATTATATGTGTTTCCGGCTTTCGTTGATGTAGAACTGCCTGCTGTACCAGAACGTGGGCGAGCTCCAGCATATGATCAAGCAGTCCGCGAAAGAAAGACTGCAACTGGAGCGTCAAGTGGCTCATCTTCATCAAGTAAGTGCCTACGTACTCATTTTCATTTGCTGCTAAAGAGCTCCGCGGTGTACTCAATGTGGCCGGTATAATATATATCATCCCTGTAAATGAGAACGCGCCAGATAACCGAAGTGATGGTTCAGCAGCCTGCGAAACTTTTTGCCACAATGGAAGCGAAGTGTGTCGTCGCGTCCAGCTGTCAGAATTTGTGGTACTGTGCTGGCGCAAGACGTGAAGTAATTGGGAGGTCATTTATGACACAAGCACCATTCTTCGTATACATCCGCTGAAGACTGTTTTGTGCACGTGCTATCTTATTACTGTTACGTATTCACTTACTTGGTGATAACGCATAGTTTTTATTTTTTTTTCTTTGGGGGGGGGGACCTATTGTCATTAGTGTCACCATTGTCAACCTGACTTTGCCCAGTGCGGGGCAAAGGCAGCTGCCGCGTTCCGCCAATGGACTCGCTGCCGTGCTCACTGCTGCCATGTTGTACCATGCTGCCATGCTGTCTCCTCCTCTCGTGTTTGCCTTCTCTTGGGATGCAGTCAGTTATGCTCAATGACCAGCGGCTATCCTGCCTACGTGCTACGTGCCTGGCCCATGTCAATTTCATCTTCTTGATTTCAACTGTGATGTCCTTAACCCCGGCTTGCTCCATGACCCACTTTGCTCTCTTCTTGTCTCTTAAGGTTACACATGTCATTCCCCTATCCATTGCTCTCCGCGTCGTCTTTCAATTTAAGTTGCACCCTCTTTGTATCCTCCTAGTTTCTCCTCCCTACTGGTGAGTACCTCTAGGATGCAGCTGTGGTATATACCTTCCTCTTGAGGGTCAGTGGCAGACTACCATTCATGATTCGGGAATGCTTGCTGATTAAGATCCACCCATTTTTCATTTTTCTAGTTATCTTGCTCTCGTGATTCGGGTCCGAGGCCACTACCTGGCCTAAGTAAACGCATTCCTCTATGTCTTCCAGTGTCTCGCAACCTATCGCAACGCGCTGTTTGTCCCCGAGACTGTTGCACACAGGTTTAGTTTATTTAGTTTTATGCATACTGATTTTCAGACCTATATACTATTCTGCTTTCCTTGTCCAATTCTATTATGATGAGTTGTAATTTCTCCTCTGAGTTACTCATTGATGCAGTGTTATTAGCTAATCGTCAGTTACTGTTGTACTCTCCATTAACGCCTATGACTAACATTTCCGAAAAATTGCGACCTTAAAACTTCCTGTGAGCACCCGGTGAATAATATTGGGGAGATCATGTCTCCCTGTCTTACCGACCTCTTTTTAGTGGGATTGTGTCGCCTTTTGTATGGAGGGCTGCGGTGGCTAGGAATCAGCCCTAGGTTTCTTCCAGTATAATCATACATGCTTCGTTAGTGCCCTGATTCCGTAGTATTTGCATAACTACTAATATCTTCTTGACCGAATGTAATGCCTTCTCGTAATCTACGAAGGCCATATTTATAGGGATTGTTTGTATTCCACGCATTTCTCTGTCACCCGATTGACAGTATGAATGTGGCCTGTACAAAATCTTACTTGGTGGTTTGGTTGATTGAACTGTAATGCCGTCCTAATTCCATGAGCTATTATTTTTGTAGATAGCTTGTAGACAACTCCGGTAAGTTGAACGGCCTGTAATTTTTAAAGTCGTTGACGTTTTTTTTCGTAGGCGCATTGAGACCTAAAAAAGGAGATGTCTAAAGAGAGAGAAATTTTTATTTCGAATGAAAAGCTTGAAGGTCGGCCTGAAAACATTTTCTGGCCTGCTACTCAGCGTAGAAAACGACTAAGAAAAAAAAACACCTAAGAAAAGTGGGGGAGCATAATCGTGCGCAGGGTCCGGCTTTAGTACGGGAAGGGTTCAAGGTTTGACTATAGGAGGAGGAAAAAAGGGTGCATGTCATCGCATTGCCCCTCCTACAAACCTGCAGTTTCCGAACCCCTCCTGCTGGGGCTCTTGTGTTCCGAACTCGGTGCAAAGACAAGGTAATGTGGGAAGAAGAATGGGATGAGAAGTATAGAGTTGGAGGAGACAGAATAAATTGAAGAAGAAAAAAAAACGTTTTGGTGTGGCGGAATTCGAAGCCGGTCACCATCGATCCGAAGGTGAGAGTCGTGACCAGTTGTCACGGTAGCAGAATGAGCATTTATTGGAACTGTGTGATTGCGTTTCTATAGACGGAGAACAAGAACCAGATAGAGAGCATGAAAAGGGAAGGTAGGTAGAATCAGAAACAGCTAGAAAGATGCAGAGAGTGGTATAGAAAGACACAGAGAGAGATTAAGAGAAAGATAAAGAAAGAAAGCATAGCGTAGCCATATATATTGTAGCCATATACGAGTGTTGCGAGAAGGTTGAAAAGGGAATCGGGGTGAAAAGGAGGGAATCGAAAAAGGGAAGCCTGCCAGCTCTACTGTTTCCATTGTTGCCAGGCCTAGTTAGCTTGCGTTAATTTGATTGATTGATTTGTGGGGTTTAACGTCCCAAAATCACCATATGTATATGAGAGACGCCGTAGTGGAGGGCTCCGGAAATCTAGACCACCTGGGGTTCTTTAACGTGCACCCAAATCTGAGCACACGGGCCTACAACATTTCCGCCTCCATCGGAAATGCAGCCGCCGCAGCCGGGATTCGAACCCGCGACCTGCGGGTCAGCAGCCGAGTACTTTAGCCACTAGACCACCACGGCGGGGCAACTTGCGTTAATTTGGCTACATATTTGGTCTGGGGGAGGCAGAAGAAATACCTTGGCTACTTGGCTAATTTTGACTATACTTTCCTGGTGCCTCAATTTGAATCAAGTTGTCGATGCCTTGTGAGGTTGCGGCCACTGGCGCTCGAGTAGGCGTGGTCAAGACATTGCGATCAAGGCGCGTCTCCTGCTCCCTAAATTCCTAATTTGGCACTTGCATTACACAAAAGAAAAGATACATGTCACGTGGTTGAGGCTCCTAGGAAAAACTGTTGCACGGCGCCTCATTTAGCACCTATCGCGTAGCGCGACTCGGAGCTTCAACTTCAAGTGTACGGAACACTCGAAAGCGCTCCACGTGCGGGACACATTGCCCTCAGCGACACTGGAAATATTATGTACGATGAACTGTGTTCTCTCCCAGAGTTAGGTGGGGAGTGAAACTTGTAAATGTGTTAATATATAATTTTTTTTTCAGCACGAGAATAAAAAAAAAAAGATTTCGAAGTGGGAAACAATTTATCCCCCAATCCCAGCAACTGCGAAATTTGAGCTCAGTTATGCATTGCTAATTTTATAGCCACCACAAGGCTGATACTTCGAAAACTTTCATGAAAAGTGGCGCATTACAGGTGAAGAGAAAGTCATTTCCGCAACAGAGCGAGAAGATTCGTCATCCGGCACGAAACGATCGCTGAAGTCAAGAACTTGTGCTTCAATCTCAGCTATTTTGATTTTGGAGGGTTCTTTCTTGTACTTGTTTACATTTAGACCGAAAGACTCTTTGATTTACTCATTTGAATGGAAATTTCGTAGTTGTTTTCGTATATACAGGGTGTCCCGCATAATTTGAACCAAGAGTTTCAAAGTGAAAGACACTTCAGTGGCGAATTGAACCAAACGCGTACTACTCGCACTAGCCTGGAGGTACTATGGCTATTTTTTTTATTTCTCCCATACAAATAATGAATAATTTTTAATTGCCTATTTTTAATTATGACCTGGAAACCCAAAATATGAACACTGAGATGTAGAGCACTTTCAGAAACCACCGACAATATTGTTTCCTGCACGATACGTCTAGTGCTGTTATTTTTTCCGCGTTGTAAAGAAAGCCTATAGCAGCGTGCGCTATAGCAGTGCGCTCGCGGTCCGTCACACGAATTTTTTTCGCGTTTCGCGGGCTTTCTTTACAACGTGGAAAAAATAACAGCGCGAGACGTATCGTACAGAAAACAATTTAGTCGGTGGTTTCTGAAAAGGCTTTACATCTCAGTGTTCATATTTTGGGTTTCCAGCCCATAGTTAGAGAATCAGGTCGTTGAGAATTATTAAATAATTCGTATGGGGAGAAATAAAATATAGCTTGAGTGCCTACAGGCTAGTGTGAGTAGTATGCGTTTGGTTCGATTCGCCTCCTATGTTTCTCTCTTTCTCAAATTCTTGGCTCAAGTTATGTGGGACTCCTTGTATGGAGTAGCAACTTTGGCTACGTTTACTACCTTTGGCTAGCGTTGGATTACTTTTTGACTAGCTTTGTGAATGTCCGGCTACTTCTTTCGTTTTTTCGATGTGACTACCCTGGCTAATTGTAAAGTTTTCGCACCATTTCTGTGCAGCTGCCTCATTTTTTTTCTTTTTTCATTTGTGCGACAGTAAACGATTTTTCACGATACACATTTGCGGACTGCCTTCGTTTAGCGAAACTCTGGCGTTAGTGGAGCCGCGGTATTGCCCTCTGCGTAAAAGCTGCTTGCCGGACTTGGGCTTCTCCGCACAGTGTTGCTACACACCGCCACATCTCCCACACATCAAGGCTCACCGAGTGCATCTCTTTACTATACACGGGGAAAACCAGTTATAGCTGACATCTAAACCGATACATGCTATTTCCCTGATCTCGCTGTGACCCACCGCCTGCCTTTGCTCGGAAATTAACGTAGGCCGTGCCAGCTCTGGCCTAACGACGTCATATCGTGGTTCGGTTTCGTATTCCACTTGCCGACATGTTGCAATCGGTAAGCATGGCGAAACGGCGCCAAGACAGACCGGCGTCGGCCCCTAATGACCGCGCTTGCGGCTGCCTCGCAGAAGGGTGTCTGCTAAATATACGGGTAATAATATTCCGGCTACTAGTCTACTCTGCTTTCTTGCACGTGAAACATCTATTCCAGCGTCTAACATAAGCGTACCGTGGTTCTGGGACGCTAAACGCGAACAATTAAATTAAATCTACTGTGCCCTAGAAGTCGGTTTCATCGATGCTGTCGCCCCGCCGCGGTGGTCTAGTGGCTAAGGTACT